TAATTTAAGGTTGCGTATTTATTTCTGTTTTCTTGTGCGTTTTATTATTTTTAATCATTTCAATTTAATATTATTAAGTTTTTTAAAATGTAATTATAATTTGTTTTTAAATATTAGAATAAATATGCTATCGTTGACCATATTGACTCGTGTTTAGTTGTCAAAAAAGTGTTTAGTTTTGGAACTAGTGTAAGAGATTATAAATTGTTACGAAAATTGAGAACACGAAAATTTTTGAAATATAAAAACAATATGGAGTTATTTTATGCAACCATTTTGATTGTGATGGTAGAATTTGAAGAAGTGATAAGTTATTTGGATCTATAAGAATAAAGAAGAAAAATTAGAAGATATGAAGTATCTAATAGGCAATTTTATAAATTGTACTGTAAGGTAAAAATACGACACTAGCGTAAGCATGGCGCTCTTTCTCAATGTGAAATACGCCCTTCACGAAAACGATTGTCGTACGTTCTCTTATAAATATTACAACCACTTAAAGCTGCTTGGGCTGTTCCTGGAGAATCCAATTTTTTTTGTAGTTTTACTTGAATTATTTTAATTTGAAGCAATTTTTTACAGTTATGTCTTACCACCTAAAAAGTGTGAAACAAATAATTTTACTTAGTATGCTTAGCTTCTCAAGATAGCCTCTTTGTCCCGTCGGATATTGAAAATGAACTATACCGTCCGATGGATGTCTCGCAATTTGTCATGATCACAATTCTTTTTTTTCCGATATTCCTTCATAACATCAGATCAAACGCTAATAGTATGCACTTAGATAAATTAAATTTTCAAAATAGTCCCCGTAAGACTATCTTGTTGTGCTAAAAAAAAGCGTTAGCAAAATTCATAATAAAAAATAAAAAGGTTTCTCTTAAAGAAGAAAGGAGGCATTATTCTTCAAAAAGTGTCAAAAATTAACTGAAAGCAGTACAATATTTTTAAATTGAAATGATTAAATTTTAATTTAAAAATGTTTTTTTTTATTTTAAATTGACAAGTTGTAATTAGCGAGCATTTAGGTTTTTAAAATAAAAATTGGTTTGTTAGATTGTTTAATTTTTATCTAAAAACAATATATTTTTTTTATATTAGAAATATAGACATATACGTAAGTATGTATTTATATATATAAAAACTTGTATGGAAATATTTACAATGAAACGATGAGAATTAAAATAATTATATAAGAAGTTGAATATTGTTAATATAGGAAAAAAAAATCAAGTAAGTTTTGGAAGTAGTTACAATTACATATAAAGAAAATTAAGTATAAAATATTAGAAGATAATTTTTTATTTTATTTATTTTATTTGTGTTTTTTTTTTATTATTTTTAAATTTGATATTACATTTTATATTTGTTCACTTTAAAATTACAATAATATTTTGTTTTAGTCTTTGTTTTTGCTTTATTTTATTTTAAATGTAAATATTTCATTTTAATATTTCTTTATATATAAATATATTCTTTCTAACATATAGTTTTTAAATTTTTTTATATATTTTTTAATTTAGTTTTGATTCATAATAATGTTTCCTTTCAGGATGTATACATTTAAAAAAATATTATTTAAGTAATTTAATTTTAAATTGCATTTAATTTTAACATTTATAAACATCAAAAAATTTCATAAAAAATATTTATAATTTATTTCATATATAATTATAATAAAATATAAAGTGATTAAATGGTGCTTTTAAATTAAATTTAAAATTGCAATTCCATTTATAAAAATTTATATATATGTAAATATGTATTAGAATATACATATATATATGAGTTTGTATAAATATATAGATTTTAGAGAGAAAAACATCAAGACGAGAATTTTGCTTTAGTGTTATAGGAATTTCTTTTTTTTTTAATATAAGACTTGGAAAATTGCTTTGTTTTTAATTTTTTTTTGCAATTTTATACCTTTCCCATTAGAATTCCCACCACTGTCCATTGTGCTGGTTTTTTTTTCAGATTTTTTTTTGTTTATATTATATAATTTACAAAATAAAATTTAATTAAAAAGAAAAGTAAGAAAAAACAAACATTTATTCTTTTTTTTTCAAAGGATTCTTAGTTTTAGAGTATAAAAATAAAGGAATGCATTTTACAAAATTAAAAATTGAAATTAATTTTAAATTAAAATTAATTACATTAAATTTTCATCATTTCTTTTTATTATTATATATATATATATATAAATGAATAATTGTTTTGTTTTAAAATACAAGTATTTTTTTTGTTAAAATTATATTTTATTGTTTTTTTTTTTAAATATTAAATTGGGCGGCTAAAATAATAAAATATAAGTAAATTTTTAATAAAATTTAATAGCGAATATCCTCAAGAAGAAATTTCCCAAATTTAAGAAATAAAAAATAAATTAAAAGAAAATTATTATTTATGTAAAAATATTCTATATAGCAATTGTAAAAAATTTCCAAAATAACAAAGAAAAATTAAAATTAACAAAAAAAAATTAAAATTAAATATTTTTAATTTTTGTATAATTGTTTTAATTTATAAATATATTTATAAATTTTTTTTCAGATTTCCTTTTTTTTAATATTTTATTTTAAGTAGTTGTCTACAGTTTTTATTGGAATTGTTTAAGGGAAAAATGGATTATATTCGAAGGATAAATTTCAAAAATTTAAAAAAATTTTAATTCCAATATTAGTTGCAAATTAATTTTTGAAAAGATAAAAGAAATTTTTTTGAACTTCAATCAAATTTTGTTTTTTAGTATGAAATTTATCTTTGTCTTTTTATTTTAGTAAATATCTTTTTTTTTTTGAATATTCAGTTTACTATTTTTTGAAAAAAAAAAAACTTGAAGTGTAGGCTGAGTTTTGGAATATTGAAAGCCAGGTTCATACAGTACTAGTTTTTAGACGAAAAATTTAAAACTGAAATTAATTTATTGCTATAATTTTGGTCTTGAAAAAAATCGAACTAAAATTAAAGTAATAAATAAGATTTTTAATAAAAAATTTATTGTATAAAAATAAAATAAGATTTGTTTTTATTTATTCAAAATATTGTAAAACATAAATTAGAACATAAGCCACTTCAATGTGTACTTTCTGAATAATATTAGAAAATATGAATGTGCTATTAAAATAACGCATTCTTATTGATTGGGCGGAAGGGTTGGAGAAGACTGTGCAAATGTCTTTTAGGCATGTATTACAAATATTATGAAAACTGGAAACCTTCCAAACAAAGCACAAATACTAACATTGCTGATAAAGTAATACAAATCCAAAGTTTGGTGCATCTAAAGGCCACATTAGTATTATTAGAGAAATCAAGGAAATTCAGGACATGAAGTTGCTCAAGAACTTTGGCATGAAGGTGAAAACTATGAGGTTTTACATTGTGGACCCGTCTAAAAGCAGATATGGAACGAGGGGGCCTGGAACTTGGTCTTGGAGCTGCGGTTTTTTATAGGGATGGGTCTGAGACATATTCACACCGGATCTTTATTATATAGGACAGAAGGGCAGTTCTTGGGGTTCTTTCGTCTAATGTAGTGGGATCCAAGCTGCTAAAGCAATGTGTTGATGCACTTGACGCCCTGGCTAGGTATAAGAAGGTAACTTTGATGTCGGTGCCGGGACGCTGCAGCATAGATGGAAGAAAGAAGGTTGATGATCACGTTCGAAGAGGAGTAGCAGCTTTTTTCGTTGGGTTGAAGCCATAATGTGAGGTGTGTAGGACCATGGTTCTGCGCGCTCTATGATTGGGAGAAACGTTTCGGGGTTCAAATCATTGGAAAAATTGTGACTCTAAAAAATTTGTGTCTCCCTTGGGACCAAGGGGACGAAAATTAGCTACACTTGTTCGTTCAGATTTGAGGCTATTGGTGGATGCACTCAATTAGCATTGAGGTGGTTGTCATACAGGAATTTGCCAGGGGTAGGTATAATATGTATAGATGAGGACGGGAATCACAACAGATTCTATGGGTCGACGTAAGAAGGGCCTGAAGGCCTTGGTACCCAAGTTAATGGGCAAAAGAAAAGCACCTCCTTATTGTATACTACATAATTAATAAATATATAAATAAAATCACCAAATGAATGACGAAGTAGAGTCACTAAGTTCTATTTGCTCCACTAACAGAACTCCAGTAGTTTCAAGGGATTTGAGCTGGAAATTTTAAGATGAAATTTAAAATTGTTATACTGAGTTTTTTATACTTTTGAAATGTTTACTCGTTCGCTCATTTTTATCGTATTCATTTAAAAGAAACCGATTAAGTACTTTTAAAATCTGTGAAGAGAAAAATCACAACTTGGAAAACTTCATATTTGAAAACAAAGTATAAGTTGATAATAAAATATTAATACATATTATTATTATTTATGAAATTAGAAAATTAATTTATAGCAAATCGTAAAATATTTTATAATTTATTTACTGAATATTCAATTTGTCTAAGAACATCAAATTTTCGTATATAAAAATGTGAATTTAATAAATTACAAACCAAACACTTGCAAAAGACGTAATAAAATATTTTACAATAAATAAAAAATTTTAATTTTGATATTGTTTTATTATTCTAAAATTCACATTTTTAATACAATGAACATATTTTAAATATAAAAAACGTTTAAAACCATGTTTTTTTTTCCAATATTAAATGTTCTTTCTTCTCTATAAAACAAAACGTTCTCTAAAATCTTTAACAAAACATTCCAATATAAATATATACATAAATACATACATATATGTACGTATGTATATATAACATATATTTATAATAAAATTAAATATAAATGTAAATACGTAATATATTTATAAGTATATGTATACACATATATTTATATGTATACAATATTATTTATTTTTTGTTAATAATGAAAATAAAAATAAATTAAAGTTAAAAAATAAGAATTAAATTAAAAAAAAAAATAGAAAAAAAGTAAAAGAAAAGTACAAATTTGTCATTAAGAGAAAAAAGAAATTATTATGGAATTGAAGTGCACCTTGAAACCATCGTATGTCCAACTTCCTAATTTTAAAACACATGTTTGAACATCATATGGAAAATATTCTACATCAATTGAACATGATGATTTGTAAACGGCTGGTGGCTGCCATATCACCAGTCCATTGTTATAAACTGTTGCTTTTGTCATAAGTGTTACTTCATAATGACCATCAGCACTGAAAATACATTTTAAGTTTTCATACCATTTTTTTTTTTCTTTATATTTGTACTTTTGTTTTTTTTTTTTGTCAACTTTCTGTAACTGTTTTGTTTTTTATTCTTTAAAATAATTTAACATTTATGTATCTGGTTAAAATAATTGGTTAGGAGTTATGTTGTCCCAAATTTTTTTTTCTATATACATATTGTATATATCTATATTTGGTTGACTTCTATAGACACTACCAATTTTGAAGTTTCGATTTTAGATATTTTCATAAATTGTCATAGTTGTTTTTTAATTTTAAAATTTTTTAATTGAATATTGGCGATAAGAAAGATTATAATTTCTATATGAAAATATTTACATTTTTCATCTTATTATTTAAGCTTATCTTTTTACTAAAATGATATATGTATTATAAATTATATTGATGAAAAGCTTATATAATTTGTTAAATGTTATAAGTAAGTAGATTAAATAATAGGTTATTAGTGAATTGAATTTAAATATGCTTTTTTAGTTGTTACATACATTTTTTGCTCATTTTAAAATTTTACTAAATGCAATATAAATACAATATTTTCAATATAATGTATTTCAAATAACACTTCTAATATATTTCAGTAACATTTTATATAATTATTATATAAACATTTAAAATGATAAATTATATTATAAAGAAATTAATTCAAAAATTGTAATTTTTGTTCGGATGTTGTAAATATGTATTAAAACAACAACTTATTACAAAAAATACTGTTGTTTTTGTTTTTGGTATAGGAAAATATTTTCAAAAATAGCGAAAACGATTGAGACTTTCGAAATTTTGAAATCTATTGCAACTATAATCTTTTATATATGTATGTTCCAGTTTTTGAAAGCAATATTCGGTATTGAACATTAAGAGAAAATTTGTAACATTTCCGCGAGAATTTGGGAGAAATATTCTTAAATCTGAGAATATTTTTCTTTACTCATTATTATATAAACTTTTCTTTGTTTAAACTTTATTAAATTATAATTATTAATATTTTATTTTTTTTAATAATAATGAAATTGTAATGAGAAATTTACATCTGAAGTACATACATACACATATATCGAATATAAAATATTTTATTACAATTTTAATGTTGATGACATAAATTATTGTTTTATATACATAAATTCGATTATCTTAAATATAATATGAATGCAATATATTATAATGTTTGTAAATTTTCGATATATTGTAATATAAATAAACTTTGATTAAAAATTTTTTTTTCAACTTAAGGTTATATAAATATAAAAATTATGAATTTAATTTCAACAATTTCTATATGCGTATAAATATTATGATATATATAAATATATATAGAATTAAATAATATTATAATATAAAAATATTAATGTAAATCTAAAATAAATTATGCTGATTGTGCTCTAAGTGAATAATTTTTTTTTGTTTTGGTTGTTATGTTATAAAAAAAGGATAATAAATTATTTAATAAAATTTGATTATATATTTACTTTTCTTCAAACGTTTTTTTTTCATTTTTTTTTTTGGAAAAGATAGATTTTATAATTTTATTTACAAAAGAATTATATATATTACAGTATATAAATGCATATATAATAATAATAAATATAGTGTTTTATATCTCAAATAATTTTATATATATTTTAAATTTAACAATAATTGTAATTATTGAATACAAGAAAGGTTATATAAAATATGAAAAATAAATAATATATAAATAAAAATAAATTGATTATTTTTTAAAAGAAATTAATATTTATATATGAATTTACATTATGTATGTATATATGTATTTGATTTTTTTTAAATATTATATACATATATGAAGAGGCGGTTAAATAATAGTGGGAAATACATAATTTTGATATAAAGTTAAAATTATTAATTATATACGTACATACATATATATGTATATATATAGTTATATATGTATATATATAATTTGAATTAAAAAATTAAAAAAAAATGAAAATTAAATATTCTATTTATAATATATTAAATACATATTAAATATATTATTAGTAAAATAATCCTAACTTATTATCGCTATATAAGTAAATAATATTAGTGCTACAAAAATTTTTCTTTATATGTAGAAAACTATTGTTTTTTTTTTTGTTACAATGTTTGAAAATGTTTTGTTTTGTATTTCAAGTATTACCGTTGTTTTTGGATTTTTCAATTGTTTTTAATTTACTTATTTTACTTTTTTTTTTTGAAAATGTAAAGAAGTTGATTTTTTATTTGAAAAATAAAATGTTCCTGTATTTCGCAGGTTTTATTTTTTATTATTTCTAAATTGTCGTTTTGGGGTATTTGGTAAAAATTTTAAAAATTAAAAATTGAAAACTACTTTTAAATAAAATTATTATTTAATCATAATTAAAATTAAATTTCAATAATAAATAACATTTTGTTTTATTTATTATTTATAATTTTTTTTCTTGAAAAATAAAATTAAACAAGCATAAAATTATTATATGTATGATAGATATGTAAATATATTTTATTGTAATTCACCAAAATATTAATATTTATATATATATGTAATAATATATTAAAGACACGTGTATACAAAAATATAATATATATATATAAACGTTAGATAATAATTATTAAACACAAAAATATAGAAAATAATTATAATTTGCATTATAAGTTTAGTTTTTCCATTGAAAAACACAAAAATAAAAAAATAAAAAAACAGAAAACAAAACATTAAATTTTAAATAATAAAAAATTTTGATTTTCACTTTCTTAAGTTTAATATTAAAAAATTTTCTTACTACATTATTTGATATTAATTTTTTAACAATGAAACAAAAGAAAGAAACAAAGCGATTTTATAAAATAAAAAATAAATAAATGAAAATATAAATATATTAAACAATGAGTTTATGAAAATTTGAATTAGTTTAGGTACATGTGTTTGTTAAATAATAATAATAAAGAAAAAATATTAAAAATTTTTGAATGCAATAAAAAAATGTCCTTCTTTTTACTTATTTTCTTTGGTATTCTATTTTGTGTAAAATCATTAAATTTATTTAGGAATTTGTTACTATAGTAGATTTTGCTGAAGAGGAAAATTTTCCAATTCAATTTTTATTATAGCTAAACAAATACTAAAAATTATTATAAATAAAATAATGTATGATTTGTGAAAAGTGTATACACTAATTTTATGGAAAAATTTGTCTGTATGAATAGAATTCATTATTTAAATGTTAATGTCTATTTAATTTTCCCACTTTTGAAAGAGATAAATGCTTTAAAATATTTTAATATAGGTTTTTATAATTATAGTAAGTATAATAAATAAGTAGTGTATTGCTAGTATTTTTTCCTAATGTGTGTTGTAATATTGTGTTGCAGATTACTCAAATATTTCTGTTTTCATTACCTTATGCTACATTACAATTCTGAATGAGAGTAAGATAATCATTTGAAAACGAAATTTTGATTAGTGTTTTGACATTCATCATTGATAAATTTAGCTCTTTTGTAAGACTAAAGACATAAGTTAACAATTAGTGTTACAATAAACTAGCTTGAAACATTTTGGAGGCTAAACATTATTTTCAATGAGGGATTTAGAGATTTTTTTGTACCTATATAAAAATTCTTAAAAAACTTTCCTACTTCATAAATTTATACTACGAAAAATTAAATTTTTCTATTTTCAAGTTTTCTAATTTTTTTTTTGTTTTCATTTAAAATTGCAATTGTAGGTTATGAAATTAATTTCATATTATATTAATAAATTATAAATAAATTACAAAATTAATATTTTTTTGTCAATTAGAATTCAAAACTTCAAAAGTAGCCGGCTTATGTAATGTGTTGTCACATACTTAAGTTAAAATAATAAATACTTAAAAAAAAATTGACGAAAGCTTTTGATTGACATTTAATTAAAAAATATAAAGTTTGTAACTGATTTTCCTCAAGTATAAGATTAAAATGACAGCAGAGTAAAACATTAGATTTGTCATAATATGTAGGTACATCAAATGACCGGTCAATAAGTTTTTCCAATCATACACACAGCTATAATTGAAATCAGTACAAGGTAGAATGTAATTAAATTGTGTTTATTAAATATGAATATAGCGTAAAAACTGTACATTCTAATTTTGACCAAATTACCTGTGATCAAATTATCGAATGGAATTTGTAACAATTTTTAATATCTCTATTTGAATTCTTATTAGCTACAAGTACAGTTTACAACATAGAAAATAGAATTTTAATTTAGGAAATAAAAAAACAAATAAATGGAACAAATTGATTTTTTTTTACCAATTTTGAAATAAAATATGTTATAAAATTTAAATTTAATTTTTGAAATATAACCAAAAATTAATGAATTTGAATGCAGTGATATTATACTTGAACAGTATAGTTTGGTTATAATGAAAACATAAATTTTTGTGAATCTAAATAATTAAATTCTTAGATCAATCAAATGTTATAAAAGTTTTCTTTATTTACAATTTTTAATTAAATCTATAAATTACATTTTAAATAATTATTTTGAGTGCCTTTTGTTTTTTAAATTTGAATTTTAAGTACCCAAATTGAATGCATATGCCATATATTTTTAAAATATATTTTTATATATCCTATGTATTTTTGAATATCCTATTTAGAGTTTTCATTTCAGATTATTATTTATATTTTGAAATTAGTTATACATAATAAAAAAAATTCAACAATAGAATTGAAAATAAGGTTATCTATATATAATTATTTGTATATAATATATGGGACGGGTTTTTAACTCATGCAAAGGGGTTAAAATTCAATATAATAAATTCTTCATTAGAAAAGAAAATATAGAAACAATTAAAGGGTTATGAATCAAAAGCTTTTGCCATTATATTATGTTGGTGTACAATATATATATATAGGTTATGTAATTATGTATGTAAATATGTGAATATATAGTTATTATGTTTTATTGTTTTTTAATGACATGACAATTAAAAGTGATTGTGAAAGGATAACAAATACATATTGGTTTTTAATTTCATTTTCTTTCTTGTGATAATTCGTATTTTATATTTTATTTATGTACATATATATATATATATATATATATATATATATATATATATTTATATAAATATATGAAAAAAGGGATATAAAACATACAATTTAAAAATAAAAAACGATATAAAATAATTGTAATGTACAATATTGATGACAATAATTTTTAATGTATAACATATAAATCTATTATATAATCAATATATGTATATAAAATTTTCACATTATAAATGTAAAATTTAAATAAAAATTAAAATAAATAGCATTTATAATCGATTAAATGCCAAATTTTTAGAAAAATATTATTTATTAATTTTATGGAAATTTTTAAATAGAATAGGCTCACTTGTTGATCGTCTTACAACAATCGTATATAGATCGTATATCAATATGGAAAAATTTTTTAATAAGCATATTCCCAACAATAAATTGTAAAAATGTGTGCTTATGTATTTTATTTGTTTGTTTGTATTTTTGTCCGTATATTCATTCGTCCGATTGATTGTCTATTCACGTTCAGTATAATCTGTTATACAAAATTGACATGAATAATTTAATTCATTTTAATAAGAATCATTTTTCAATTTCTCATACCACCGTATTACCGAAATATTGTGCCATATTTGAACCGGATTTTAGAAGTTCTTAAACATAATTTATTTAATTTGATTAATGGCAAATATTTTACATACCAAAGGCAAATTATTTTGTAATTCAATTCTAGTTAAAAATTATGATCGATTGCTGCGGTTATGGCAAGACAGTACAAGTCAATTTATGACAGTACAAGTCAATTTTGAAAAATTTTCGAAAATTATACTATCTTCTATTTTGCAACCCCATAAAAAAGTTTAATGCATTAAATTACTTTTTTGAAATAAAAATTTAGTTTCTTTCGATTTAGTATATTATAATGAATACTTTAAAAACTTTGACATGAGCAACATAAGAAAATTTTCAAACTATCGCACAATTCAAAAACTTTGATTCTACTATTCTTTCTCTAAGTAGCTTTATTCTTCAAAATATTACAGAACAATTGCTAGTGTGGAGTCTTTCTCTTAATTGCGAAATATTATAAAGTTTTTTTTTTATGTTAATTAGATCGTTTTTCCCATAGGCCCTTAAACGTTATTGATTTTTAATTCTAAAAATTTGACATTTAAATAATTATAAAAATAAAAATATAAAGTGAAGAAAACGCAGAAAAAAATTTGCTTTCTAATTTTTAGTTTGCCTATTCTTTTTGTTTTTAGTTTTGGTACAAAAAATTTGCTTATCAAATAATGATCTATTTTTCTTTAGTGATTTATATATGTATATATTAATATAAATATATGAGTACATATTAATATTTATATAAAAATAGGGAAGAGATTTTAAGTAACAGAAAGGAGAAAAAACAAAATCAAACAAGGGTAAATAAATGCACAAATAAATGTTTGATGTTATAAAGGAAACGAGATAGAAACGAAAATTAACTTTATAAAACTTTTAAAATTAAAGGAGGACATTATAAGTTTTATATAATATATATATATATATTTTTTTTTTCAAATTGTTATATAAATTAATTTAACTAAAAATAACTAAATTTTAATTAAGTGATTCAAAAATCTATATTAATCCTAAATTGTAATTAATATAATTTTGCATTTTATATTTTTTTTAATTTCTTTTTTTTTTTTGTTTGTTATTTTTGTTTGGTTTTATTTTTATTCTTTTTAAGAAAACCTACCTTAAAACCATCATAAGTCCAACTTCCAAATTTTAAAACACATGTTTGTTCATCAAATGGAAAATATTCAACATCGATTTCACATGATGATTTGTAAATTGCTGGTGGTTTCCATTCAACTAAACCTCCGGAATAAATTGTTGCTTTTGTGGCCAGTGTTACTTCAAAATTACCATCAGCACTATTTTTAAGGATTTGGGGGTAATTGTTTTTTTTTTTATGTTATGGATAGTTTTAATTTAAAAAAAATATAAATTTTTGTTTGGTTTGATTGTTTTTTTTAGTTATTTATTTTTTTTTTAAATTATTGTTGATTTTTTGTTGTTGTTTTTGTTGATTTGAATTTTTAATATTAAATTTTGTATATATAGGTATATAATGTAGATCGATGTTTTTTTGTTTAGATTTTATATATTGTAATAAAATTATATAATTTATACATAATTTGTGTGTTTCATATAGGAATGACGTATAAAATTTTGAAGATTGTTTTATTCGAAAAAAATAATAATGGTTGATATTTAAAAATTTAATAAATTTTCCCATTAATTATTTGAATAAATTTAAAAAAATAAATAAAGATATAATTAATTATTATAAATAATAAATAAATTAAAACAGAAAAGTTGAATTTGTTTTAAAAAATAAATATCAAAAATTTTGTTAAATTTCAAATTTTTTGTGAAATATGCAGTTTTTTTTTTTGTCGCATGGTGTACAAGGGATATTCATGGTTGTGGAAATGTTAATAAAATTTTGGTAGTGTCACATTAAGCTTTTTTTTTCATCTTTGAATTTTTCTTTTGTGATCTTATTTGTACGGTTAATCAGTTTTAATGATAATCTTTTTGTTTTTTCTTTAAAAAATTATAATTTTTTTGGGAAATATTTATTTATTTAAAATTCAAATCATTAAAAATATAAGCAAAAAATTAAAAACTAAAAAAATAAAAGTAATAATTTGATATTTAATTCATAAATAATCAATTGATAAATAACCAAATGAAAATGATTAATGCTACACGGTTGATTGTTGAAAATATGAAAGTAAATAAAAAATGACTTCTTAGTTTGTGAAATATCTTTAAATTTTTATGCATTACTTTCCTTACTAAAATTTAACTATTGAAAATACATTTGAATCAAAGTTTTATATTTTAAAAACATTATAATATGTATGTGTTAGTGCTCTAAATGATCTTTTGAGATCAAAAAAAATGATCATAATAATATGCTTTTGATAAGTTATGTTAGTGGTTATAACAGCGGTTCTGGTAACAGAAGGGTCTCGGGCTCAAACCTTGGTCAGGTCACTATAATAAATTAAATTAATATTATGTATTAATTTAATTTATTATAGTTTAAATTTAAAGGCTTAATATAAAAGAAATGTCCCATATGTCCATGATATTCGATATTGCATACCTTAAATATTCAAGGTAACCGCCTAGCTAACTCAATGATGTATAAGGCCAAGTGGAAGTTTCTAATACTCCCAAGTCGAGTAAAGAAAAAAAATATCACTTAATAAGAAAAATTAATTAAAGCCACAATTTGTGTCGTAAGGCCCTATACCTCCACCAAAATAATAAGATTCCAAAAATATGATGTTGCGTTTTGGGATTGTTTCGATTTTGTGTTGTTTTTTTTTAGCTTCTATTACAGGATCGAGGAGTAGGTTTTTCAAATGAAGTCGCTAGGAGATATGGTTCTCAAGATATTTGAACTTCTATAAAAAGAGCTTGTTTTCTTTATTAGAATTTAAATTTAAATTTACTTAACAAATTTATCAATGAAAATAATGAATTAAAATAGACGATTGTTTAAAGGAGAAGACGAAATATTGGTTTGTTTCAAATTAAGAATTGCTATTCAAATTTTTCCGATATTTCTTAAAAAAGCATTTCTTCAATTACTTGCGTTTAATTTAAAATTGTTCTTTGTGTTAGTTTTTCACCCTTTAGTTCTATTCATATTTATGTTCATAATAATTATATATGCTTTTGGGATAAACTAAGTTACTTTTATTTGCAACTTTGAAAAGTTTGAGTAATAATATCATTTTGCAGTTAATGTATGAAATTTTCTATATAAAACTATAATCATAAGAAAATTAATGTAAAAATTTAAATTATTTCATTAATTCTTAAGTATACGATTAATTAGCATTAAAAAAGAAAAAAAAATTTCAAAAACAATTTTAATAAAATTTTAAATAATAATTTTAATTTTATTATTAGGAAAAAATATAAAATAAATCAAAATTTTTAAAAAGGACCAAGAAAAATTAGAATATTTCTCTTTTCCTGCTAAATTATGTAATAAATTATTTCGAATAAAATAAAATTATTATATAAATGTGTAAATGAAGTAAATAATAAATGTGATATTAATTATTTAAAAATTGTATGTATATAAAATAAAAGGGGAAAAAATTAAAAATCATTTTTTTTTAACTTTAAGTTTATGTTTAAATTTTGTTTTATTGAAGTTTTATAAAGTTATTAATGTAATATAGTCTTAGGATTGCATTATTATATAATATTATTAAATAATTAAAACACAATACATTTATTAAATAAACGCTTATTATTAAATAGATATAATAATGTATAATATACACGTATATTTAAATATTTAAATAAAATAATACAAAATTCAATTTATTTATGAATATTTTGAATATTAAGTAAAAAATTAAATTTTAAAACCTTTTGACAGCGACTTTATTTTTAAATTATAAAAATTCTTTTTTTTTTTTCACAAAAAATTGCTCTTTTCTATATTTTTAAGAGATATGTAATTATATTTTTTTCCTCTCTCTTTCTCTCTCTTTTTTTCAATAATAATTGCGCTTTATATTCTATTTTTTCTATATAAATTTTTTTTTAGTATTTCTATTCTTTTCTTTTTTTAATATTAAAATATATAAATTTATAATTAAAAGAAATTTTATAGCCTTCGTAAATATGAAAAGTTTGAGAAGAAAAGTTATTTTTGAACAAAAATGAAAAAAAAAACAAAAAAATGTAATTTTATATAATAAATAATTTTTCTTACTTGTTATATAACACAATATCTGGACGCCAGATATGATCTGATGGTACATGTAACATATGAACTCCTCCATATTCCTTTGGTTCCCATCGCAATTTGTAATCGTACCAAGACTTTAATGAAAATTGAAATTTTATTTTTAAAATTTAAGAAAATATAAAAAGTAATTTATTTGTTTATATTTTTATATTTAATTTCTAAGTTGTTGCTTTTTAAATTTTTCAGAATTTATGTCTATAATTTCAAGTTAATATCGAGCTTTTCATATTCGAAATTTACAATTATGAAATTTGCTACCATTTTATAGATGTGTTGTTTATCTATCAAGCGAATGTAAAGAAAACTTTAGCTAGAACAGGAAGGAAATGAGGCATCTCCAAGGGTAATTAAACTATATAATTTTTGTAATTATATAGTTTAATTACCCTTGTTTCGGAGAGATTTTCATGAGAATTACAATTGCAAAATGTAATTTCGTTGAGACTGATGTGCTTCTAAGTGACACATATAGAATAAATGTTATTGATATAGAAATAGGCGCGTGTTATTTGACTCTCCGATTATTGTTATAAATTAATCTAAAGGAAATAATTTTATTTTTTTGTAAAATGTAGATTGACATATTATTATAACATTCTCGATATCAGATCAATCCCTATAAATATTAACATAAATAAATTACTGCTTTCTTAAAAAGATGTTTAAGCTCAATTATTAATACAGCAATAAAAATTAGTTGGTTCATATATATGACATTTATTTCTCATATAAAAATACCTGTAAACCTATTATAGAAAAATGTGCCAGTTTGTTTTGTCAACCTTTTATAAGGACAGCACAATTATTATTGCGAACAAAATTAGAATATTCTCACATTTCATATATAATGTGCGCAGAAAATTTTCTTTTTGGTTTTTTTTTGAACAATTTGATTTATTTTTAACTTTAGTTCCGAAGTTTTTAAAATTTTAGGCCCATGGAAGTTTTTTAAGAAATTCTTTATATTATTCACTCTTTGTTAACTGACAATAACATTAAAAAACTAAGCTCCGCAATAATATTAAAAAATAGGTTATTCGCAAAATTATACAATTTAAGAGCGGAGAAACGATGGATTCCAGCTTATATTTAAATTATAAGATACATTGAACTAATAAAATTCAATAATTTTATAATTTAGTACGAGTATTCTATTTCAGAAATTGGAAATACATAAATTTGGATTATATATTATGTGTTATACAATGTGTTTATATCTATTCATAAATACTTGTATACAAATATTTTCAAATTAAATTCATATGTATTTCCTTTTCTTTTATAAATTTATTATGAGAATTTTTATAACATGATTTATGTATAAATTTGTAAAAATATTCAGAAATTTCAGTAGTTTTATTCAATTTAAACTAAATTTTATTAAATATCTTGATACTCTTATGGTACGAGTATACATAAATTTTTATATATTATTTATTGATATATTTTGGTAATCATTTCCATATTAGATTTATCATAATATTTTGTTACACTTATGTACAGATTAAAATGTACTTTATAATATATAATATCAAAAAAATATAAAAATATAGAATAAAATAAATTAAAAATTAATGGGAAATGACTAAAATATTCTTTATTATATTTATTGTATATTATATAAATTAAATATCACCAAAAATTTAAATTGATTGATTTCATTTAATTTTTTATTTCATTGGAAATATCATCACATTTAGTTCAAATTAGAAATGTGAAATTTTTTCGATATTATTTATACAGAAAAAGTTAGGCAAAGAAAAAAAACGAAACAAATAATTTAACCAGTATTTTTTTATTTGACATTTTTTCTCATCTAATCTATCGAATTTGAGTTTATCTATTATTATTTATAACTTATAAGATAAATCCCACGCATTTTTATTTTTAGATTTCAAAGAAAAAAAAACTTTCTTAATAATTTAGCGTTTTTATTACTTGTAATTTACGATCTAATTTTTATTATCTAAAGTGTAAAATGTGCGTTTCTACAATTATCTATCATTTCTCTTCACTGATTTTTCCATGGTTTTTTTAAATCAAATCTACATTTACGAGCATAACACAGAAAAAATGTAAAAATACATTTTTTTACAGTTTTTTTTTGATATGTTCGATTTTGAATTTGTTGTTAATGCATTTTAAATATGCTTTAAAAAAATATATTTTTTTAGTCTCAGTCTGTTCTTTCATTTGTGCGTCCCTTTATAAAATTTCGGCATCTCTAAAATTCAAAATTTAAGATTTGAACACCTTGATTTGGTATGTATGTTTTCTTTCGTTTAATTACCTCCTAAATGTATGCAGAACACGACATTTTGTTCTAAAAGAATAATGTAGGTAGAACGTAATTTGAAAAAAATGCACTAGTTTTAGGAAAATGTGTTTGTTTACAAACCTGTGGTTTGATTCAAATTTAATTAAAATGACACTATTAAATATTGTAGGTATTTGGATGTTATTTTTAGATTTTATTTCGTAAAATTTGATAAAATTAATAATTAGAGCTTTAGATGCATGTAGGTTTTTAATTAATTAAAAATATTTATGTGTTGTAATAAAATAATTTTCTAGATTACATGATAAAATCTGAGTTTTTTAAATAGTTATGATTTTTCACTAATATTTATGATGTAATGTAAATTGTTCTAAAAATTATGCATAAAATTACTTTATGAACAATTTTAAAGGTTTAATTAAAAACGAAAATCGTGACACCAAAATTAATTTTTGAAATGTTTGATTTACTCCAAATAAGAGATTGTCTTCTCACAGGAATATTGAGCTATTTGGAAAATTATGTGAAAGATTTAGTTGGTGATTTTATATCAATCAACTAAATTTATTTATAGCGAAGAAATTTAAAGAAATTTTCTTCCAAATATTTTAACCAAAAATTTTAACCTAATGAACCCATTGTTGAATAAATTACAAATATGGAAAAATATACGTTTAAATAAAAATTTAATTTATGATAGTTAATTATTGCTTATTAGTAGACGTGTGTGTCTTGTTAAAATTATTAAATGGAAAGTGCTAAAATAGCTTATTTGGCAATTTTTAAGACTTAGTAAAATTATAATTTAATTTTTGTATTCTATTTTAAAATATTGTAAAAATTTTTGAATGAAGAGAAAATAATATAACCACAATAATGTAAAAGTAATATGAGAAAATGGTAGTAGAGAGTTCAATCATACACATTTTTCTCTTAAAAATATTTTTACTACTTTTATTTTCTAAATTCGGTTTAATTTAGGACTTTCTTTCTTCACATATAAATTGGATGGTTGTTTTTTATTTAAAATCAGTTTATTTATAGTTGTCATTTCATTAACATATATATATCACTCCTTGACATTTTTTATTTATTAATTTATTTAAAGTAGTTGTAATTAATTTATTTTTATTGAAGGAAATTACAAATTTCAAGTGATTAAAAAATAATATTAGAAATTAGAGAAAACAATAAATATGAATTTGAAATGTTTTGTTGTTATCTGTTTGGCTGTTTTTCAAGGAAATGGTAATTTACATTAATAATTTGCAATTATGCAAACGTTAAAAAGGATTAACTAAAATTTTAAAATTTTTAAGTTTTCATATTTTAAATATTAAAATAATTCGTGCGGAAATTAATATAATGATGGTGACGCTGTATGGGCATTAAATTAAAAAAAATAATTTTTTATCTTAATTTTCTATAAAAGTAAAATGTGGTTTTGCAAATAAGAAATTATAATGAATTGTTATTCGAAATAACACATATTACCCACCATGAAAAACACGTATTACCCACCAAAATATTTTTTGGAGTCAGAGTCTTAATGAGCACTTATTAGTACAGCAGGTGGCTCACCAGCACCTTGTTTATATTTGACATTTATATTTTGAACAATATTGGTGATAAGGTTGCTATACATAATGGTGGTAAATTTTGATAAATGTAGTATAAAATCGTATTACATTCTTATCACTAATTGTGATAAGAACGTAATTACAATCGCAAGTTCTTTTTTAGAACATTTTTGTTTTTAACTTAATAACTTTTAATATTTCATCAACAATGCAGTTTTAATTAAGGAAAAGAAAGGCCTGATCTAATTGTATGTGTATAACAAAAATTTCTCTAACTGAAGACTTGAATTATGTACTGTTTTCAGTAGCATAAATTATTTAAATCAAAGTATTGACTTAACATATACAATAAAGAAGAAAAATTATTAACAGTTATTCTATGTAATTTTGCATTGCTTTGTGTTTCTCTTTGATTATAATTTCGTTTTATGTCCATGTATTGCAATTCTATTACAGAATTGTTTACTACATCCAATAAAGTACTCAGTTCCTACTCTGGTTTCTTTCTCAAGATATCTTATAATAATTGTTAGCAATTAAACGAATTGCTTTAGTGACAACATTACTCCTTAAATTATTGTAATATTCTTTTTATATTCATAAATTTGTTTTTGTTTCATCCCTTTTAGGATTTAATACAATTGTTCAAGCTGCTAAAATAAATGAAGAATTTGCTGAAAAAATTAAAATTCAACGGCCAATCAAAGCTATTCTACCTGTTAATGAACATTCAAAAGCTTATATAATTCCAAAAAGTCATCTTTTACAATTAGAATTACTTAAAAATTTGTACCCAGATGCAAAATTTGCTTTAAATATAAAAAGAACTTTACTAAATAACATAACAAATGATTCTGTATTGAAATTACCATCAGTACCAGCAATTACAGTAAATGCGATCAATAATAACAATCAAAATTTAGAAGAAAATTCGAAAGATTTAAATTCACATCCTAGTACTCGATACAATGTTATAGAGAATAATAATTATGATTATGATGAAGATGAGTCTGAATATGCTCCTAAGTATTCAAGTGATAATAATCAGGAGAATGATTATGATTCGGATGATTATTATGAAAATGATGATTTAAAACAAAGTTATTTTATACAAAAAAAACCAAATAGTGCTTGTTGTAAAGAAGCTTATATTTTAAGAAAACTCTTGGAACGTATGCTGAAACGACCCAGTAACGTTGAAACAATAAAGAAGAAA